GCCCGTCCACCATAGCCGGCCACCCTCAACCCTTCTTCCTCCTCCATCACCCACGCCCGTCCACCATAGCCAACCACCCTCAACCCTTCTTACTCCTCCTTCACCCACACCCGTCCACCATAGCCGACCACCTCCAACCCTTCTTCTTCCTCCATCACCCACACCCATCCACCATAGCCAACCACCCTTAACCCTTCTTCCTCCTCCTTCACCCACACCCGTCCACCATAGCCGAACACCTCCAACCCTTCTTCTTCCTCCATCACCCACACCCGTCCACCATAGCCGACCACCTCCAACGCCGCATCTTCCTCCATCACCCACACCCGTCCACCATAGCCGACCACCTCCAACCCCTCTTCTTCCTCCATCACCCACACCCGTCCACCATAGCCGACCACCTCCAACCCTTCTTCTTCCTCCATCACCCACACCCGTCCACCATAGCCGACCACCTCCAACCCTTCTTCTTCCTCCATCGCCCACACCCGTCCACCATAGCCGACCACCTCCAACCCTTCTTCTCCCTCCATCACCCACACCCGTCCACCATAGCCAACCACCCCCAACCGTTCTTCCTCCTCCATCACCCACACCCGTCCACCATAGCCGACCACCATCAACCCTCCTTCCTCCTCCTTCACCCACGCCCGTCCACCCGAAAGTCTTAGGGGGTCGCAAGGGGGATACACGGGACCTCGGATAGGATCGGTTAGGGTAAGTCAATGAGCAAGGTCGATTAGGATGTGAAGCTTTTTGTCTCTCTCTCTCTCTCTCTCTCTCTCTCTCTCTCTCTCTCTCTCTCTCTCTCTCTCTCCGKCTTCCTCCATTCCTTCAAAACTCTTTAACCCTTAACCCTTCTGCCACCCCTTCCTCTCCATGGCATGTGACTAACCTTTACCCTCACATGTTACATTGCCAGGGAACGAACGGAAAGGAACCTGGTTCTCACTTGGTGAAAAGCGAGGGCAAGGGAAGGGCTGCTGGTCCCTTGTGCCACCAAGAAGGAAAGGATACGAGAATATTGAGAACATTTGTGACAGTGGAAAGGAGTGTTGGTTTTGTAATGAGATCAGTTTGACTCAACCATCCTCTCGGAATGCATGACTGAGGCGATCGCATGGCTTGCCTGTGTGAAAGGGAAGGGAACTCATGAGGGGAATTGGAAGGCAAAGGCAACTTAGGACTGCGGGAAGGGACGATGTGTTGACCCCAATGGGGATTGTACTTGGTCATTTGTCTTCTGTGGTCTTGCGCAGGTGAGTAGCTAGGGACGATTTGGACGGGGCTGGGCCCGCGGATGAGGACTAGGGTGGGAGATTGGCTAAGGAAAGGACTTGGATCCGGCTTAAGCCATGGATGCGGGATGAGTTGAGGCCGGGCGCTTTGGTGGATGGTTGATGCATGGACTTGGTTTGTGTGGAGGTTGCATGGAATGTCTCTCTCTTGTGCAATGCGACCCCTGGAAAGACTAAGGGCGGTCTTGGATAGGTGATGCGATGCTAGTGGCTCTCGCAAAAAAATATAGTGGCTAGGGGTCCGGCGCCGCCGCCTTACCCCAAGGATGCCGCCGGGGCTGCCCAGAGCCACTAGGCTTAGTGAAAAGGTGCGTGGCCCAATGGATGACGCTTGGCCTGTGCACGATAAGAAGATGAGACTTCAATGAACTCCCTGGACTGCCTGCGTATTGGAAGGAGCAATTGCCTGGTCAGGCCTAACTGAAGCGAGAAAACGCCACGAGTGCCCAAAGAGCTACCATCTTGACGTGAGAGCGGAGCTACATCCCCCAATGTAAAGCCCTCTTGCAAAAGGCCCATCCCCATCCATCTCATAGCACTAGGTAGGGTTGCCCCTGGGAAGAACGACCCGCGCCCCGAGCGTGAGCGTGGGCGGGTCGACCGAGGCTCGAAAGTCCTACAGGGTACGGCCCCTACAAAAATGGTGGAGATGCCGGGTATAGGGTTAAACTGACCCATACGGTCTCGAGGGGGGCGCCCGACGCATGACCGTGAACGTAAACATGCAGATAAGGAATATGGATTTGTGTATGCTCTATCCCTTGAGTGAATCAGATTTGAGGGTGGCTGGGCGCATGGCAAGGCCAGGCCTGGAGGAATAACATGCATGCTTGCACGCTTGATCAGCCATCTCCCCTGGAGGTGACTCTAGTCCTCCTTCCTCCGGGCTGATGTTCGTCAGACCGGGGAAGCCTTGGGCAAGCCGCAGGTCGACCCTTCCTCTTCGTGTGAAAGAAGGGCTCCGGTTACCGGCAGGCGATTGGGATTTCGGGCTAATCCGGGTTCCGATGAAAATCCCACGGCGGAGTGATCCTACCGACACGGGTGCTCTCTTTCCTTTTCTTCGGAGCCCAGCGAGCTCCATGCACCACACTTAATGCTTGAAGGAACCTCATATGAACGCAAAAGGTAATCGAGAAGGAACAATCCTGCCCTATGAACGGACACATGAAGTGAAGATGAGGGGAATGAAGGGATTTGCTAGACTCCAAGAAAACTAGCTCACCTTTGAAGATGCTCACGAAAAAAAAACGGGCACTATGTATGGAAGCTAGGGGTGAGAGGCACGCATTGTCCTGAGTGAAAACCTGTGAGCAAGGGGTAGGAAGCATTGGGTGCACCTGGGGAAAGGCACTTGTGTTATGTGTGTCCCACTTGGGGCTTGTGCTTGCATGATGGGGATATTGAGCGTCCTGCCATTTGGAAGGAAAGGGGGGGTCTACACCGGCCACTGCGGGTTGCCAAACATCGTTCTCTTTGCAGACTGCCGTTTGTTCATGTGCGGGGGTCAGACCAGTGAGCTGTCTAACGGGAGTTTGTCACGTCGAGTGCTTATTAGCATTCTCGTCCGTGCGGTGACGGGCTTCGGCCCGATTGATCTGCCGGGCGGGGTGTGAAACGTTCCTCAGGCGGGGCCTAGCCTGTGGACTGGCGGAGGGAGCACCACTGCATGGGGGCAAAGACGGAGCCTGGGAGGCAATCAGTAGTTTATCGTAGCCTGGCTTGGAAAAAGGTTGTTCCTTATGGGACCAATGGAAGTTAGTGTCTGGACGGCTGGCTCCAATGACCCTACCGAGATGTGAGGGGTGATTCCCGAGATTAACGGTGGGTACACGAGCGGCAGGTCGGGATGGGGTATTCTGGGCAAGAAGGTGAGGGCGACCACCCCACTGGAGTCTGGGTACCGCGCTCGCGACAGTTGAGTTGTGCTTGAGGTATGGTGTAAAGCCTTACCGATAGTACCAGTGGAGAAACCATTTTCCAGGGGAAAAGGTCGGTGAGGAGATGACCGACCTGTATGTGACATTTGCCTGAGTTTTGCTTCTTATGCCTCCCTCTGTAAAGTTGCCTGATGAATGTTGGATGGGGACCGAGTTTCTAGTCTATTCTCAACCCCTGCCTAAGTCTGCACGAGTGAGAGAACATGAGGAAGAGGCTGGTTAGGAGTCGGAAGAAAGTGTAACCAAGAAAAGAGGAATGCGCGTGGCTGGTGATCGATTGGGGGTATGGTAGGGCAATGGCGCCTATAAAATGGATAGGAAAGGTTAGGGAGGCCCGGATGAGGGGCCTGGAAAACAACTCTCATCTAGAAAAGGAAAGAAAACCATCTGACCATGAGGGGCCGTGTGGTGCTCTCATGTGGGAATAGGACTGGCACCGGAAAAACGGGATGGCGCGACGGTTGTCACCTCCTGTCTACTCTAGTGGCCCGGAAATGCCTATAGACGTAAGGGATGGGGTGTCCGTTGTTCTCCCGGAAGAAGGGATGTGGACCGACCTGGAGCCAGCTTATGAAATTGTGATGCTGGATAGAGACAACCTGGACGGAGACAACCTGGACGGAGGTCAGCCTGACGTAAGGACGCGTTCCTCTGGATAGAGACAACCTGGACGGAGGTCAGCCTGACAAGACTTTCACCCAGCCTGATGGACCTAGAGTTCCGGGGAACAGTGGAAGCTCGAGGATGGGTCTATGTATCTCAGGAAATGGAAAATGCAATGGTAGTGGGACTAGTATTGGGCACGACACCAGAACAGTTGTTTAAGCAAGCGGAACGGGAGGTGATATGGGCAGCATGCCAAGGGGCGGAAATGGAGATGGAAAGGATGGAGGTGCGAGTGAAACTTGGGGATAGGGGAAATATGAGGCGGCCCCTTAGGACAATGAGGTGTGTGTTACCCCCGTTTCTGGTGGATGTTGTCTTCGGAACCAGGGAGAGATTGGAGCGGATATGCCTGTCGATGACGCGCCTGAGGTTGTATCAAAGTGCTAGACAGGACTTCTTTAGGCTGTCGGTGGAAGCAGGGCCGTTTGAAGGAAACTGGGCGGAAGAATTAGCTGAGGTGTTAAACCTCCTCAGCGAGGACGAAATCTTTGTTCCCAGCCCGGTACACTGGCAGATAGTTTATCGGAATGTGGCGGCGGGTGAAACCTTCCTGGAAGGAGTGAAAGAGTTGTTCTTGGACGAGGAGGGGGATTTCAGTGATGACGAGGACGGGGACAAGATAGAGGACTGGGACTTTTGAAAAGGATGGAGGGACTTATCTGGGAAACGGGTTGTCGACTATGTGCAGGTAGGAAGCGATGATCCGGGAACTCGAGCTATGGGACAGCACGTGGGAACCAAAACGAATCGGGAGGGGAGTAGAGATGTCTATACCACCAAGTAATGAGTGGGAGGGGCCTACATGTGACTGGCGGGGGTATGAAATTGTGCCGGAACTGTCATACCTATGGATAGAACGTGTTTGGAACCCGTTGAGGGAAGAGGAAGGATGGGAGGCAATTGCGGAAGGTAGGGTGGAATCGGTTGGAACGATCGTTCTCTCTGAACAAGGTTGGCACCTGTTCTGCACGACGCTTGCGGTAGGGCAGAATCCGATGTGGCTTCTAGGGGACGCAGAGGCAAGGGTTCGGCAGGCAGGGGAAAAGTTCGCCAACCAGGGTTGGGATACGGTCAGCAGTAGAGTCGTGATGGGTGGGTGGAAGGAAATTAAACCGCCTAGCACCTGAACCAAGACCTGGGTGCCCGAGTTCGTGGTAGACTGGTTTGGGGGCTTTGATCACGTAACAGAGGTAACCGACACGATGGAACGAATACACGTGGACTGCGCATGGCTGGCAGAGGAATTTTATAGGACGTCCTTGAAATTTGGGCCCTTCCACGGGGATAGAGCCCGGGAGGTCCTTATCATTTTGGACATTGAAAGGAATGACCGGCAAGAGGTGACCCCAGAAACTAGGGAGGCCATAATCCGCCGTGAGGTAGCATCAACACCTTGCTATGTGGATGATGTGTTCAAACTGTTCGAGGTACTGTGGTTCGACTAAACGCGGGAAAGTCGTGGGGCCAGGCAAATATGGGAAAAGTTGCTAAGATAAGGGAATGGGATGTCTGGCCATTGTAGGGTTCAGTGCGGATCACGAGCTAGGAGATCAAAGGCGAGTGTGCGATGGCGTGAAGAAGGACGTTCCTTGAGGAACGCCCCTTGGGCATTGAACTGCCTAGGGAAGTACCGGGTGGGGTAGAGGTTAGCTTGCCAGCGGCAAGTGAAGGCTGGCATCAGGTGGCAGATTGGGTCGGGGTCGAGCTTGCGGAAAATATGGTTTACTTGGTGACGAAAGTTGAGTGGTGTGCGGATGAGAATGGGGAATGGAACCCGGACCCGCGGGGGCATGTGCGTGCAGAAGGACGGCTGTATGTGTCATAGGATGGGTGGAGGGAGTTCGGAGTTCGGCTGGCATCAGGAGAAAGGGCATGGCAGTTAGTATGGCGAGCGGGATTTGAGTTCGCAGATCTGGGGGTTGACGGTGTAACAACGGACCTTAGCGTAGCCATGGTCGGGAGTTTCGAATTGCCTAGTGAAAATGTACGAATGAGGCTGCCGCCCTTCCTGCTGGAAAGGTTGGGCGGTCTGGGACTTGTTAGACGAGCGGTAGCCGACCTCGCAAGCCTGACATATGAAGATGCGATGATACATCGAGAATACTATCGGGCCTTCCTAGAAATGGGCCCGTTCAGTGGAGAGCAAGAGTACGAGGTGCTGCGCATCCTGCGTGCTGTGTTTAGCACCAGGCCGAGGGCTCCGGTCGTGGGAGATGAGGTCCTGTGGGGTGTCATCCGACGGGAAATAAGTCAAGGGATGGTGTACGTGGATGACCTGTACCGATTGTATGAGCCGATGGAGGTAGGGACGGATCAATAAAAGAAGTCAAGGAAAGAAAAGGAAGGTTCAAGCTAGAAATCGGGGAGTGTTCGGGCGGGAGCTGAAGATTAAATGAAATAAGTAAAACCGCTTGCTGTTTAAACTGTGCAGGGGACTACAAAGTCAAAAATGGCGATGCGACGCGCTCGGATGTTGCGACGGTCCACACACCCGTGGCCACCCACGGAAAGTGGAGGCGGATGGGAGGTATCGCTCCCAGCAAGCTACATGATCCAAGGATTGGACATCGAATGGAGGGCCGTGACCTTGGGAAGAGGTCAGGCGTTCATGATGGTGGAATGTTTGTGGGATGTTATGAGAATTAACAGGGGGTCGGGAGACGATCTATATACCGATCTTAGGGTAACGGGGACCATATACCTGCCGAAACTTGGATGGCACATGCTAGGAACGGAATTGGCACTAGGTCACGGGTTGCTACCAATCTTCCAGAGGGCTACTAGGATGTTGAACAGGGTGGGCCAGGAAGTGCGGGGGAGAAGAAACGAGGATTAAGAACTCGGGTGGAGGTCGGAGGCTGGCGAGAGTTTAAGGCCCCAATGACCAGGTTGAGGTGTCGAGTACCTCGTTTCATGGTGGACTTGGTATTTGGTAGCCTCAAGAGAGCTAGGGACCTGGTGGATTCGACCCTGGTCTGGATCCACCTCTTCCAGCCACAAACAACGAGCATGTTCTACGATGTGTCGGTTAGACATGGGCCGTTCTGGGGGAATCAGGCCTGGGAACTACTCGAATTAATCGAGATCTTGATATTCGGATTGCCCCACCTGTCGTTTGAAGAATATGAGCCAATAATTATCAGGGAAATAGAGATGGGGGAAAATTACCTTGCAGGGTTGGCTGACCTGTTCGAGGAACCGGAAGAGAAGGGCAAGCCTGAGGGACCAGCATGAGAAAACGCGTCAAGGAGAGGTAGGGAAATAAAGGATGGGTACTAAGATAAGTAGGCAGCCATCAGCAAAAGAGGGACAGTGGTTGGAGTTCCGGCCGACCCAATGATGCGGCAGGGAGGAACTAGGAAGACCACCCGCTCCAAAAATTCTGGGGCACCTGGATGCCAATAAGCCAAAAGGGCCATCCCCGATAGGGAAGCCACTGGGCTTAGGCACCGCCCTAAGAATCAAAGCGCGGCAGTAATGAAATGCCAAGCGGCGGCGGCAAGGCCCCGGTAGAAGAAAACCTGAAGGACGCCCCAGGAGAAAAAAGTCAGAAGAGTCGTACTGATTAATGTAAGACGCAAAAATATGGGAATAGGCGTACTTTAGGGCCGAGACTAGGGCAATTATGAACAACCGGCCATGTTCGCAAAAAAATTTTTTCCATGTGCAGGCTAGGTAAAGGAATAGCGATGGAGGAAGAAATCGAGGATCRGCAGAGCAAAGGGAATCAGGGCACGAATGGGGATGGGGAACGAAACGAAGGATCAGCCAGGGATCGAGAGTCAGCCAAACTAGAAGGAACCCGAGAAGACGGAAATGACGCCTCAACTGGAGAAAGCTCGGGGAAAGCTGGGGGTAGCAAAAGGGGACCTCAAGAAAACAGGGAAGGGGGAAATGATGTGAGAACAAGCCCTCGGAACTCGGCAGGAACCACCCCTAAAAAGACAAAAGTCTCGGATGCCAGTCGTAAACTGGCAGAGATAGAAAAGCGGACTGCAGAATTTAGGGCAAGGCTTATTGAGCAGATGATCGCCGGGGATGAGGAGGACCCCCAGGGCGCAGGGTTACGTGAGGGACGCAGGACCGGTCAGGACGAGGCCAGGTATGAGGGGAAGGATAATAGCCACAAAGGAACGCCTAGCAAGAAGGGGAAGGACAAGAACGACCCTCTGGCGGAGGGGATGGAAAATGCTATGACCCCGCCTGCCATCGACAACGGCACTAGCCAACTGCCAGCCTCGCTGAAAGTAACAGGGGCGTGCGACGGACTCTGGAGCATTAGGGAAAGGGTGCTAGGATGGTTTGACCCAGAAGGAACGTCGAAAACCAGGGAGAAGCAGAGGGAAAGCAAGGAAGGGGAAGGGACCAGTGCAGTTGGAGAAGCGGGTAGCTCCGAAGGTGGTCTCAAGAGGATAGTCACCACCCTCACCCGGGCACTAAACAAGAACCAGGGGTATCTCGCAGATGCAAAGAAGAAACTCACGTTCGATGGGGCCAACATTACGGAGTTTCTAATAGACTATGAGAACCTAGCAGCCTTACTTAAATGGACGGAAGAGGAAAAGATGGAGCACCTAGGGCAGGACGTGTCGCTAAGCTTGGGAAGGGACATTATGGCCATCGTCGCCTCAAGTGGATCCTGGAAAGAAACCAGGAATGAGATGATGAGGAAATACCTGAAGGCAGAGAAAATGGCAACAGAGGCCGAATTAGCCGCAGTCCAGAGGAAAAACTATGCGACTTACAACGATTTCCTAAGGGCGTTTACGATAGTGGCTCTGCGAATTCCCGGGGTAACGGATCGCATAATGAGTAAATACTTCCTCAGACAGTTCTCCGAGTTTGATAAGGATAAGATTCTGTCAGCATATCAGCAGACCATTAAGTTTGAATATACAAGGGATGTGGATTTCAGTACGGTAACAGACCTTGCAGAGAAGACAGTGGTAACCGAGACCCTAGCCCTGCTTAAGGAAGGGGAGGTTATAGACCTGACCGGGAAAACGGGGGATAAGGTCAAAAAGGGAATAGAGAGCCTGCATGAAAGGGTGCACGGGGTTGACAGCAAGATGGACATAATGGAAAGTGCGCTATTAGTAATGCAGGCACAGGTGTCCCGACCCGCCCTCCCGCCCCAAGAGGCCGTGGTTCCGACCGCTGTAGCAAACCGGGGATTTATAAGGCGGGACCCGGCCAACGAACAATGCAAGTATTGCACCATGATCGGGCATTTCGTACGGGCCTGTCCGAGACTTCATCACGATATCGAGCGGCAGAGGTGTAGCAGGTCCCTCAAAGGCGAGATCCTCGGACCCAGGGGAGAGCGTGTCAATTGGAACTCGCCAGGAGGGATGCGGCGAGCCGTCATTCTCCTGAATAACTTAGAGATAGCTGTCGTAGAAGCAGAGCCGATAGCCGAGATTGTCTGGGACCAGCCAAGGGGACGGGGACCACAGACCAATTTTATCCTAGAAGGCAATGGGCAGGATAGGGTAAATATCACTACCCGACGGGCTGGCGCGGAAAAGAAGCTCATCCGAGACACAGTAATGGAAGAAGCCGCGGGGGCTAGTGCGGAACAGGAGGAAGTTGAGGCCGGGGAACAAGAGAAGGTCTACGCAAAAACGAGGGAAGAAGAACTGGTAGACAAAGCCACGGCGGCAAAAAATAAGTTCAAATACCAGATTCTGATTCTGACGTTGCCCGAATTAGATGACACACTGAGCAAACTCTTGGGCACCATGGTCTCAATATCCTTCCAGACCATGCTGCAGCCAAGCCCGAGACTGCTCAAGGGCCTCAGGCAGCTATTGACGCGTAGACGTGTAGAAGTAGAGGAGGCTCCGGAACCACAGGAACAAGGACCCGAGGAGGGAGAGGCGCCACAAGGAGTCTCTAACCTCCAAAGCATTCCAGGGGGCTTGGAAGACTTGGAAAAAGCCTTTGCCGATATTCGTCTGAGTCTATCGGACCGAGAAGGTGGCGAAGTAATGAGAGCACCGCCCGACACTAAACTTAGCTTCCACGCACTGCCTGTAGGAAAACTTAAAGTCGAGGTCGGAACCCACCACACCGATACATTAGTGGATGGCAGCGCAAAAATTACCCTCATACGACGGGATTTCGCAACGATCACGCAGTGCACAGTAAACAAGGAAGTAGCAGGGAGTATCAGGGGAGCAAGCGGAGAAATTCCCTTCACTAGGTATGTTACCAAATGCGCGGTCAGGGCAGGAATTCGGGAATCCATCTGGTCTTTCCAACGGATGACCGTCATGGAAGAAATGGACCATGACATAATCCTTGGGAGACCTTGGTGCGCCAATGTARRAATGATTGGCATGCACTTGCATGAYGRCACGTACATGGTAGACATAGAGGATCCGGTGAYAGGGCGCGGARAACTCCTCCGACTCCTCGGAACTGGAGGGGAYCCTCCCAAGGGTAAACTGGMAACCTGGTCGCCGACGTTTGAAGAAAGTGCACRGAAAGGCACAATCGCACAGATGGAAGGTATGAGAGAAAGAGTAGAAATCATGATTGAGGAAGTCTTTAGCAAGAAGGAGTGGATCAAGATGGGTCTACCCCTGAAGAAGAGGAGGCAAGAGGATGAGGCCCTGGAAGTTATGGTGGCAGAAAAAGAGTCGGAAGTCGAACTTGGAGCCAGCCTGCCCAAACCAAAGGAAGGCCGGAACGAAACGTTAGAGGTGGTGCTTGAAATCCCAGATTTGTTACAACTCGTTAAGGCCATTAGGTATCACAAAGTGGGGGTGGACCCCGCATCGCTTGCTAGATTTGAGGATGGGGTCCGAAAGGGTTACTGTCTGAATGGAAAGGTAGTCAGCATCCAGCCCCGCGTCTTGGAAGTAGCAAGGCCGATCCCGACCATTCATTTTTTAGGAGAACGATCTCAGAAGGAAGTGTGCGAAAGTACAAACCCGTAGGCAAGAAGGTCAAGCCGGTCTCAATTCTGGTAGAAACATCAAAGGAAGAGGCCATGGAAAAGGAAGAGGAAATCCTACGGGTTATAAGGGAGAGGCGAGCAACGGAAGGTCATCGGATACCTGATGAGGTAGCAGATACCATGAAAATAGGAGTGGAAGGGTTTCTAACAGCAGAGGAAACTCAGTTGATAAGAAAGGCGTGTCATGAGTTCCATTTAGCTTTCGCTTTCAATGATCACCAGAAAGGGCGGTTGGACGCAAAGCTAGTTCCTCCGGTTAGGATCCACACGGTAGAGCATGAATGCTGGGATGATAAAGGGTCTGCCTACGAGTTTGGGATAGCAGCGGAAGTCACTGACCTGCTTAGGGCCAAGATAGATTCGTTCGTGGCCGAGCCCACCGCATCCCCTTATGCAAACGAGTGGTTCGTTTTCTGGAAGCTCAATAAGACGCCAAGGTGGATCTAGGATTTGCAGAAGCTCAATGCGGTAACAATTAGGGATGCAGGCTCGCTTCCACAGGCCGACTTGTTGGCAGAATCTCATGCGGGGCGGAGCATTTACTCCCCGGTAGACTTGTACTCAGGATACGATCATTTGTCACTCAATGCGAGGGATAGACCGTACACCGCAATGCACACCCCCGTAGGACAGTTGCAGATGCAAGTGACCCATATGGGTTTCACAAACGCGGTAGCAGAGGCGCAGAGGAGGATGCTCGCCGTCACAGGGGGTATGTTTCCGGAAAAGTGCGAATCGTATAGATGATAATCCCGTAAAAGGCGCAAGGTACAAGGACGAGACGGAGGTCGAGCCGGGTGTGCGAAAATTTGTCTGGGATCACCTGCAAGATATCAAGGATCTCCTACAGCGGATCTTGCTCTATAATATTACCGCAAGTTGGCCAAAGAGCATCCTGGCTGTCCCGGAGGTAACTATACTGGGATTTCGCTGTGGGGCCTATGGGAGGAGACCCGACCCAGCAAAGACAGATAAGATCTCTCAGTGGCCGACACCCCTGCATACCACGAAGGAAGTACGAGCCTTCCTAGGGGTGTTTGGATTCTGGAGGATCTTCATCAAAGGTTTCGCAAAGATAGCAGAACCTATCCGCGCGATGATTAGGGAAGATGGCTCTATGGATTGAACCGAGGATAGGGAAGAGGCAGCCCAGACCCTCAAAGACATCCTGTCATCCGATCAGGTCACTCTAGCAGCACCCTGTTTTAATGACGAGGTAGAACGGCCCTTCATCTTAGAAACAGATGGGGGACCGCTGGCAGTTGGAGAAGTATTGATACAAAGAAGCGAGGAGGGCAAGGAAAGGCCAATCAGATTTGAAAGTAGGACCCTGAATTCGGCAGAATGGCGGTACTCACAGTTCAAGAAGGAGGTCTTAGCGATTCTGCATTGTCTTAAGACCTTCCAGGCATACCTATTCGGACGGCGATTTATCGTAAGGATCGATCCTACCAATGTCGCCGAGGCCCTAAAGAACTACAAGCCTATAGACCCGACCGTTGGCAGATGGATAGGCTTCATATGGCAATTCGACTATAAGGTCGAGCGGATTGCGGGGCTTCGAAACAGGGCAGATGGGCTGAGCAGGGTATGTATCACACCAGAAGGAGTAGAGGACGCGAAACCAATCGACGCCTTCCTGGAGTATGAAGGAGGGACCCTTGTGGTGGATAATGAGATGGCAGATCCAGCAATTACAACAGGTCAGTTGCTGATTCTGACCTTGGAAAAAGGCGTGCCTCCAGTAGTTGCAGAACTCAGGGAAGGACCAGCCACCACTGTCAGGCGTAAAGAGGAGAAGGACTCATGGGGAGCAAAAGTAGGGGTCAGAGAAGAGCTAATGGCGATGGCCGTGGAAGGGGGACGGGACGCCGTGATGACATTGGCCGAAACCTGGGCACAGAAGGAGTGTCAGTACCTAGTGAATCTCACTCGGGAGGAGCGTGGTACGGATCAGAACGAACAAGAATTCTTCCTCATACAGATGTACGAGGGCGTCTTCAAAGAAATCGGTCTGCTGCTTGTAGGGAACAAACAACCTACGGAAGTCAGTCCCAAGGCAAGGGAGGAAGTAGAAAAGTATGTCCTAAGAAATGGCCACCTGTTCAAGAGAGAGGAAGGGATGATGCCTAGACGCGTCGTTTGTGGGAGGTCTAGGCAGCTGAACGTAATTCAGGCAATGCATGATGGGCTAGCTGGGGGTCACCGGTCGTCAAAGGGGACACTTGCAAAGATTGTGCCCCTGTATTTTTGGTCGGGAATGGCAGGCATGGTCGCAACGTACTGTCAGACGTGTCTGATATGTCAAGAGACGAGCTCCGTACGGGTTTACGAGCCCCTTAGACCCACTCGGGTACTAGGACCCGGACACCTTGTTCACCTCGATCTTGCGGTTATGCCCGTATCGACGGATGGGTTTAGATACATCTTGGATGCAAGGGATAATCTCAGTGGCTATGTAGAAGCCGTAACCCTCAAAAAGAAGACGGGGAAAGCAGTGGCCGATTGGGTGGACGATTTCTACCTAAGACACCCCTTCGTGCGCAGGTTTATAGCAGACAATGGGACAAAATTTGTTAACCAGGAGGTATTGAACAGGCTTAAGACACTGTGTGTACCAATAAAGATCACTAGACCCTACCACCCGGAGGCAAATGCACCAGTAGAAAGGGGGTACCGGACCTTGAAAAACACAATCGCTAAGCTTGCAGCAGACAACTTGGGGAACTGGCCACGGTACCTTAAGCAGGCAGTCTTCTCTGAGAACATGATACCAAAGAGAACGACGGGATGCATTCCAGTGGAGCTATGGTATGGAAGGGAGATTGACTTCCCAGCGGAGGCCCTCGTCCCTACTTGGAACAGGTTAGACGATAATCCGCACTTGACCACGGAGGAGTTAATCACCGCACGTTGCCAGCAGGTCGCCAGGAATGAGGAGGCATTGGAGGAAGTAGTTAACCGTGTAACGGATAGCCGAATGAAGGACAAAGCAAGGCGGGACCAGGTCAAGAACATTCGGAAAGAGCCACTCCAGGTGGGGGAGAAAGTGTTACTTAGAAACTCAGCTCTTGAAAGCACATGGTCTGGGCAACTGGGCAAGAGATTCAAATGGCCTTACAGGATCGCTAAGCGGGTGGGACTGAATACGTTTGAACTTGAGGATCTTGATGGTACTAGCATAAGAGGACCATTTCCGGGACAGAGACTGGCCAGGTGTTTTAGCAGGGATCCGGTGGAACAATGGTTACAAGAAGCCCAGGACAGAGAAACTGGGGAACTGACAGCCTGAAAGGCAGGCAGCTGGCTATAAGTTCTGGATAGCCTTCTTGTGGAAGTGATCATGACCACAGGGATTGTTCTTTTGTGTGTCTTGCTTTTTGTGGAACGTGGGGAGACTGTCTGGGCTGACTATAACTGGGCTTGGGAGCACGGCATAATGTATTATAGTTTTTGTGGGGTAACGCTGGGGACTGTCTACACGAGGTATTTATGTGCTGGGACAATGTACCATAGTTTTTGTGGGGTGATGCTGTGGAATGCCTACATGAAACACCTATGTGTTGGGACAATGTGTCGAGGGTTCTAAGGGATAAWGGGACTRMCAACTATATRGGGGCAAGCAAGAGTTMTAGGGAAGCCTCCAAAGCTGCAAATGGGAGTGGAAGGGAATGCGTGTGTATGAGGGGTACCGTGACTGTTATGTATGAACAGGGCCAGGCAAGAAGAAGAAAGACAACAAGAAAACAAAAAAATGGAGTTTGGGAATGAAAATGACAGCAATGCAATTAACAGCCCGGAAGAGGGACAGTCGTAAAGGCAAGCCGGAGAGTCGAGCTCCAGGAAAAGGAAGTTGTATGTGGGGTTCGATCACAACCTAGTTGTGAATAGGGGGGGCAATAAGCAAGTGACCAGAGGACCGTCACCACTGAAGGAAGGGGAGGCAATGGAGCTGCCTTCAGACAGTGATCCTAGTAGTAAGGAAGAGAGGAACCCGAAAAAAAAGCGAAGGATGGAGGAGGGGAACCCAAAGGAAGGACAACGGCCAGGAGAGAATGAGCCCGTTGAGTTCATTGACCTCACCAGCGACGAGGAGGAAGATGAGGTAACAACGCCCACAAGGGAAGAACGGGGAAGAGAGGACGAACCGGGTGAGGTAAAGGACAAATGGGAGGCTTGTGTTACTTTGTATGAGTATTCGCTTCTTCGGGGAAATGTGAACTTTTTTTTGGCGGTAAGAAAAGGGGATCAGGGATGATTGAGTTTAAGAGTGGGCAAGAGCATGAGAACCATTGGGATTGAGAAAAACAGTGGATGGCGAAAACTTTCCTTTTTCTAAACCACGTATCCATGATTGAGTGAGTCGTTGCATAAAGTCCTTGTGAGAGGTTGGGGACCTATGGGTAAAAAGATATCCTCTTCCCTAGGAGCCTAATCCAACCTATCTCAGACGAGTCCACAACATTGGAAGGATATAAGAAGTCAGGGAAGTGGCAGGGAAACATCGAATTGGTTCAGCAGCCCTTGTAATGATTGAACGGTCGGGCGGGCTAGTGCTGCTTGGGGCCGCGAGCCTCGACTTGAGTACTAGACGCTAAGTCGGATGTATGGATGGATGTAAGAATGACAAAAGGCATGAGGAAGAGGAAGAAGCATGCATAAAAACCCAAGAGGATGACCGCCTTCTAACCCTCGAGACGAGATACGATCCGTGTCCTCGAGGCCCACCCCTTCGGGCGCTAACATTGTAATGGACAAAGGATAGCCCTAACCAGGCTGTCCAATTGGACTCGATAAGGATGGTCCTAACCAGGCTGTCCGATTGCAATGGATAAGAATGACCCTAACCAGACTGTTCGACTTGGAATTGGAAAGAACGACCCTAACCAGGTTGTTCGGAATGGCCCCTGACAAGGGTCATTCTTTGGAATTGGCACTGGGGTCCCCTTGCATGGCTGCTTGAGATGCATGACATTGGGTAGAGTTAAGCTTTGGAAAGGATATTGGAAGAGCTGAGCTTTGGAAAAAACATTGGGAAGAGCTGAGCCTCGGAAAAGATATTGGACTCAGCCTTGGAAAAGATATTGCACTCAGCCTTGGAAAGGATATTGGACTCAGCCTTGGAAGAGATATTGCACTGAGCATTGGATTGGGATTGAGCATGGAAATGAGACTGAGCATTGGAATTGGATTGAGTATTGAAAATTGCATTGCATAAACACAGGACCCTAGGCAACTGGAAATGGACGTTGGAAAGAGCCTTGAAATGGAACTTCTGTTTTTCTTCTAGTCTTTGGCCTCAGCAAGAGGGGGATACCGGTGCATATACCGCGACCCCAAGACCTCCATCCCTTTGGGGGAAAAAGTCTCAGCGCGACCTTTCATCTTCAAGAGGATGAAGGTTAAAGGACTAAGGCACCTACCACTTGGATCGGTGAGGGACATTCGGAACCACCTCCGATAATGAGCTTTAGTCGGGGAGTTCAAAGTGCGCCTTATGTTGAATGCCTAAACGTCAAAGGGCGAGAGAGTCAAATGGGCAGGAAAGCCATTCTCATCTAGTCTATTCTGCTACTCCCCAACCACACGCCAGGTCATAGAGGGGTGACATGGCCGTTTGGGTCGGACCACGGCTGCCCGCGCTAAGTTGGGCGGCACTGTCCAAGGGGAGAGGTCGGGCGAAGTACCGGGTGGAATCCGCCACCACCACGGGGCATTAACACTGCCCTGCCGGAACATTACAACCGTTTCGGGACTAATTGCGAGGTCTTCGTAACTGCACTCGCGGACTGATCGAGAGCCCCAACTCTCTTGAAAGAAAGAGGCCGGAATCCAGAAAATTACCACTCGGGAGGAACGATTCGCGAGGAATGCTCTTACGGCTAGACGAGGCCCTGACAGGCTTGGGTTGGACCCGCTTGGCAGACATGGGGAGAAACTTCGGTATTGGTGTTCGCCACGTAAGAGAAGAAAGGTCGGACCAGGTAGAAGGATGAGGTGTCGCCCGCTGGGGAGGAACTGATCACTCTTCCCTTTGTGAAGCGGACGGGCTTGTGTCCTTGACTTGCGGTTGGTGGGCCAAAGGTCTGCGTACCTCCGAGTGAGCACCAGTCGCGCGATGGGAACATCGCGTTTTGAGTGGGGGGAAGGTGTGCCATCTACCAATGAATACGCATGAAAACAGGACTTGTAATTGATTTTGCATGGGCTTGGAAAAAAGGGGTCTGTCAAGATGGCCGGAACAGAAAAAAATTGTTATTGACTTTGTATAGGCCTGAGAAAAGGGGGTCTGGCAAGACGCCAGCGCAGAAAGGACTTGAGCAAGTGACATGGTAGGAACTGGAACTGGCAGACTGAGAGTTGAAACTGGCTCGTATAAGCTTGAAAAGATGAGAAGTGGCTAAGGGGTGAACCAAGCATTGCACATGAAAATTCAATTAAGTAAAGGGTAAGAAAGGGCAGAGGATGATATGCATGCGGAATTGGCAGGACCTGAGAAAGGCCGAGAGGAATGACCCGGGAAGAATGCATGTGGATTTGACTATGTCTGAGCTTCGCGGAGAGGAAAAATTGTACTGAAAATGAGTGGATGTCCTAAGAGTAATGAATGAGACAAAGCCAAAAGGATTTCTTCTCGAGAATGTTTTCTCAATGAAATGGGAAGATAGATTTGAGATTACGAATGCAGCCTCCAAGACATTGTTGAGAGCGAGAAATAACGTACAATGAAAAACTAGCTGCAGGGCATGTCTGTGGTCAGACCCCTCATAGGGGCGATGCTAGTCAACTTGATGAGGGAAAGAGACATCAAACTGCTTAAGCTCCTTGACGTGTTGCTAGCTCGCACCTGGAGGAAGCCATGGCAAATGATCCTTGTGACATCCATTGCCAAAATCTCCCTTTTACCTCGGTCCCTGGGGAGGGTGATGGGCGCGTTGTCCTCTCTCTTGTGGAACGATACGAGAAGTTTTGGGGAAGCTCTTGGGTATTTGGGAGTTCCAGTGAGAAAGAGATACAACTGTGAGACGGACGTTGATGCACAGAAAGTGTTACGCACTCGTTACAAAGACATTATTGAGCTTGGGGACGTTACGCAATCCAAAGGAAACCGGAAACAAAATCTTGACCCCTCCATACCCTTCCCCGCCCCAAGGGGAGAAACTTAAGGAAGGACTCAAGGAAAGGGTGGGAAAGACAAAAAGAACCCTGACAAGCTAACTACTCATCCCACCCCACTCCTCTCCCCTGTCTGTCTACCCCTCTAAAATTCCTACTGACTATGGATTGGTGAGCGATGAGGACATCGCGAATGAGTGGGGGGAATATGTCGGGACTGGTGAGTCCCGAATGATTTCCCGTTACTCGAGAGACTGTATATGACCAATTTGTGCACGACAGAGAAAAACGGAGGCAGGAATGCTGGAAAGATCGGAAGCGTGGGCACAGGCAGTAGGAAGCTAGAGGCTGCCCAGGGTCGTGAGGACCGCCAAACTAGAAAAGGGTTGTCTAAGCAGGAAGCGGCAAAGGACTGTGAGAGAATAGCAGGGGCGACTCTTTCCCCAAGGACGGAGAAGGGCCGCTGGGAAGTCGGTAGTAGAATAGGAGGTGCGCAACAAGGGAAGGAAGGAAGCGGGAAGGGACAGGGCGCAAGGCGCTGACGTGACACGGCGGCAAGAGGGCCAAGGAGACCGCAGGTTAGGTGGGAGCCGGCACCCGGAATGGAATAGCATGCGGGACGCAATAAGAGCAGGGAGCAGAGATCGCTGTAAGGCGGAAGGACGTCAGGAGCGCCAAGGAAAGACGTGATACAGGTGGGGCAGGAGTGTCGGGGACCACGTGGTATCGAAGGACGGGGCGGTACCAGCAGGACAAAGTGCCGGGGACCACGCGGGACCAGGGGACGGCGTGGTGCCGGCAGGGCGAAGTACCGGGAACCGCGTGAGACCAAGGGAAAGACGTAATGCAGGCGGGCCGAAGTGCTAGGGACCGCGTGGGCCTAGATAAAATGGCGGCACCAGCGGAACCACTAGCAGGACG